AAAAAGAAAGAAAGAAAAAAGAAAAGAAAAGAGCGGCCAGCGCGAAAAAGGCGAGAAAACGACCAACGAGAAATGTCTCCTGATCTCGCACACACACACACACACACACACACACACACACACAGACACACACGCGTGCGTACTTACATATGTCTGTGCGCTGAAGATGAATGAAAACAAGTCAAATGAATGCTGCAGTCGAGAGTGCTCGACTGGCGAATGCCCTGTATGCTCAGAAAATAACAATTTTATTTTATTTTTTTTTATTTTATTTATTTATTTATTAATGGTCGACAAAACGAGTGTCTTCCTCATTATTCAAAAGGTTGTACAATATAAGTATATTCTAAAAGCCTAGTTAAAGGATACAATTTTCTAAATAGCATCACCGACCGATGGAGGTGTTTTATTTGCCAGTCCGGCCAGCTGTGCCCCTTTTCACAGCTAATTTTGTCAGTGACGCTATTAGAGCCTACATCTAAGCAGAAGGTTGTAAGTAGGAAAAAAGTGATCTCAAGTGAAATTAAAAATAATCTTAATTTGCTAAATTAATAAAGAAAATACAATAAATAGGAAAAAAGAAAGTAAGAAAATTGTTAATAAAGTAAAGCAATGTAAGTTAGATAAAGAGTGTTAAGTGGATAGGACAAAGAGAAAAGTATTGGGAAATCACCGACACGGTGGGGGAAAATTTTTCAGCCTGTCCGGCTAGCTATGCCCCTGCTCATAGCTGGGAATGGTCAGCGACTTCCCGAAGGTATCCTGAAAGCAACGATTTTATTAGGGGTAGAGACAGTTCGGTAGAGAAAACGTGATGCAAACTATTATAATTTTTACATAGCACGCGAAAAGAATTGTGCATAGCGTAATCAGTTGTGCACGTAGATAGTAATAAGGGGCGATAATTTCTGGTTGGTCTAGCCGGAACAGAGAATTGAAGACGCCCTAGCAGAAAAGGAGAATCAATGTCGCCAATAATCAACTTATGTAGAAGGACAACACCGAGAATTGTCCTACGGTTGATTAACGACGGAAGGTTGAGAAGAAGCAGTCTGCTGGAGTAGGACGGCAACCGAAGATTAGGGTCCCAATTTAAACCTCGTAAGGCAAAAAGCAGAAATTGCTTCTGAACAGATTCAATACGATCCTGGCTGTTGATATACTGTGGAGACCAGATGCAAGAGCAGTATTCAAGGATAGGGCGAACAAGAGAGATGTACAGAAGTTTTGTTATAAAAGGATCGTTAAACTCTTTAGACCATCGTTTAATGAATCCAAGTACACCTTTTGCCTCATTAACAATGGTATCTATATGAAGATTGAAACAGAGTTTAGAATCAAAAATAACGCCAAGATCCTTAACTGTTAGTATACGTTGCAAAGGGATATTGTCGATTGTATAACTAACAAGATAAGGTGTAGTACGATTAAAAGTCATAAACATACACTTTGAACAATTTAGATGCAATTGATTGGCCGAACACCAAAGTTGCATAGCGTTCAAATCGTCTTGTAGACGAGAATGATGTAGGGGGTTAGTGTATGATAGAAAAAGTTTGACATCGTCCGCATACATGAGTACACGGGCATGTGATATAACAGAAGGAAGATCATTTATAAAAAGTGTAAAGAGTAAAGGTCCAAGATGACTACCTTGAGGAACACCAGAAGTAACGTGAACCCTTTTAGAGGTAGTCAACCTCAGTATTACTCTTTGGGTCCTACCTTTTAAATAAGAATTAATCCAAAGTAAAAGGGACAGAGGGAAACCTATTCGGTCAAGTTTAAAAAGTAAGATGTCATGGTGCACAGAGTCAAACGCCTTACTGAAGTCAGTGTAAATGACATCAGTTTGCATTTTCGAAAGGAAAGCATCATTTACCAAGGAAGTAAACTCAAGCAGATTGGTCGTAGTTGACCGATTCTTTACGAATCCATGTTGAACAGGGGAAACAACTGATTTGCAGAAATGCTGCAAATTCGAAGTGATTATTTTTTCAAATAATTTAGGAATAGCAGACAGTTTTGCAATGCCCCTGTAATTTTGTATATCAGACTTCCCACCTTTCTTGTGAAGAGGAATGATATAAGATTCTTTCCAAAGAGATGGAAAGACAGAAGTTTCAAGGGATAGATTAAAAAGCTTTAGCAATGGATAGAAAAGGGAAGAACTGCACTCCTTGAGTAGACAACTATGAATATTGTCCGGCCCAGGAGAGTAAGAAGATTTTAGAGAGTTTATAGCTAATAGGAGAGAGGAGTGTGAAATAATGGGGGGAGGTATAGAACTAGCGGAGGAAATAGTATAAGGGTAAGAATTAGTATTAGGACAGACTGAAGAGTAAGTTGATTGGAAAAAATTAGCAAAGAGGTTAGCAGAATCAATGTCATTGCTAGCTTTATCCATCCCAAGAAAAAAAGAAGATGGCAAAGTTGAAGACTTACGCTTCAAGTTTACAAAATTATAAAACTGTCTCGGATTTCGGGCGAATTGCCTTTTACAACGAATTAGATAATTCTCATAGCATTGAGAATTAAGAAGAAAAAAGTTCGACTTGGCTATGGAATATTTAGCCAAGTCTGTACACGAACCAGACTTTTTAAACTTTTTAAAATATTTGGATTTTACATTTTTTAGATGTGATAATCTGGGAGTAAACCAGGGTGGTTTTGAAAAAGTAGTCGAAGGAATTGACTTAGGAATACACACATCTAAGAGGGAGTTTAGGGTGATATAAAAAGAATTAATAGCTGTATTCATATCAACTGAGTCATATAAGAAAGACCAATCGGTTGAATAAATAAGCTGATTCAGCAAGGAATAATTTCCTTTGCGAAAGCAATAGCGGGGCTTATTGGCTGATGAGCACGAAATGGAAGGATTACAATTTAGCATTGCAATCTCTAAAGTTGGATGATAGACATCCTCAGGAAGAGATAAAGGAGGTGACCTAGACACATTAGAAATAAGGTAGTCGTTAACAAATACAAGGTCAAGTGTTCTATTCATATGATTAGAAATTGAATTGATTTGAAACAACGAAAGATCAAGCATGCAGTCTAAAAAATCGTGCTGTGCTGAGGGCACTAGATAATTTTCAGCAGTGAATAATGACCAAGAGATGTTCGGCAAATTAAAATCACCCAACACCAATAATAGGTCATTATCCCGCACGTGTGAAGAAACTTCTTTAATACAAGTAATATGATTCATATAAACTTGAATATCAGAAGAAGGTGGGACATAAGAGCATGTTACATAGATATTCCGTGTAGGAAAAGACACCTTAACTGAGACAATCTCAGCGTCAGTAGGCGTACTAAAACAGAATAGTTCAGACTGGAGAGTGGCTTTAACGGCAATTAACACCCCACCACCTCGAGTCGGCCGATCATTTCTAAACAAAATAAAGTTATTCGGTAATATCTCAAAATCAGATATGGTTGAGTTTAACCATGTTTCTGAAAATGCTATTATGTCCGAATCGAAGGAAGTGCTGGCAATAAAAAGATTTTTTAGCTTTGAAGTGAGACCTCTGACATTCTGATAATGAATAAAGATTTGGTCAGAAGCTGAAGCTAGTTTTTTGGGGCAGAAATGGTACCCTGTATTGAAGGGACTGGAAGGGTGACAGGCTGGTTACGCTTTTTAGGCTTGAACTCATGAACAATCATGTGTGGTGGCCAAAATTTGGGATCACAAATGATTGGGAACATATCATGTGAAACATTTATTTTGAATGATGATATTTCACGAGGGGTGGAGAAATTAAATTTAGTTATTGACACGCTAGCAGAAGATTTGCTAGCAATATAGGCTGCCAATGACTCAGAAGTGGTGTCCGACGAAAGTCGAGACACAAAAACTTGCCTACGAGGGGCAACTACCGTTAAAGTAGGCGCTGATGGGGCTGTAGGTAATACAGGAGTTGGAGGAGCTAACGAGGCACAATGATTGCTTTTAACAATCTGCGCAAGATTGCGCGCAGGTTTACCTTTGCGGCCAGGAGCTGACGGGGCTGAGGCTATTTGATTAATTGGGACGGAATCAGGTACGGGCTCTACTGGGTCTAGTACAGGGCTTGAAGCCGGGGTAATTGGACAGTCGCTTGGAGAAGGCGATAAAGACAACATTGGAGATACCTCCAAGTTGCTAGGAAAAGACAAGAAAGTCGTAGGAGTCTGAACAGACGTAGAGGGCAATTGCAAAAGTTGAGGCTCCAACCGGCGATTGGTTGGAGACTCAAATTTATATTTGCCTAGCAAATCGAAACTCGAGACAAAATTACTCGAGAGCTGCTTAGCCACATTATTTAATTTTAAGAATTGACTTCTCACAGAATTATACATTCTGGAGAAATCAATTTGCTTGTCGATGCATTCTGGGCACGACCAACGCAAGCCACCGCAGCCCTTCTTGGCAATAGCAGCGATCTTGTCGCAGTCACGCCCAGTGAGACCTGCACATTTAGCATGCATCATATTCTCACACAGCCAGCAATTAACAAATTGCGGCAGTGCAGAATCGTCAGCCTGCTTGAACGTGCACGGTTTCTTACAGCACGACATAATTATTAAATGCACAAGCAACTTGCGAGAGCGCAGAGCAAAACGAAACGAAAACGGTGCACAAGTAAACACTCAAAAAACAATTATTCGTACACAAACAAATTGTTTGGTGCGAAAAGCAATAGAAAGAATTTTGTGAGAGCGCGATGCACAAGCAGAAAGTATGCAGCGAACACACGCACAAACAAGTGTATGCACAGGGGAGCACAAAGGCAAAAGACTTAAAACAGCCAATAACAACAAACACGGAACTGACGCCGCGTTTTATAAAATGTAATAATTAACAGACACGCTGCACAACAGATGACACTTTGCACAGTTTATAAAAGCTTTTTAAATAAAGCACCGAAAAATGCAAAATTTTGAAATATAAAGCAAGATAAAAGCGCAAAAATATATAAAAATCTTGGAGCACAAGTAAAACACGTCAATCACTCTCAACTGAGAACTCTCTCATCTTTATTTTCTTTTAGCTCTGGGCTACTAGCGCACATTCATTAATAAGTGATAAGAGTATTTAATCAATAAAATATATGCACAAGAATGTTGGCCTCTTGTGTCTGTGACAAACATTGTCAACGGTAGATGTTACCCCATGGTTTTGGGGTACAGGGTATAATGACTGGCAATTTGCGCATGCGCCAAAGGGCGTAGACGGCCAGCCAGCCAACCCATATCGAGACCCGTAATGGTAGCTGCCACTGGCTCAAATCACAATGCGTGCAACATTGTTGCAGTTGCACTTTGCAATTGCCTGAAGTGTGCCAGTGCCAACGGTGGGGCAAAGGAGTGGGTGGCTAGCAGACTCGCAGACTGTGTGTTTAATCTGTGGAATATATTTTGTCAACAAATGAGCAATGCACTGCGCGAAAATTGCAGTGAATGCCAAATGTTCATTAAGTATAAGAAAAAATAAGAATACACACTTATCTAAGTATTTACTTTAGTTGAAACGCTTAGGATTTATTGTGCTGTCAAGTGTTGCCACCTGGCTAGGCAAGGCACATCTGGCAGCATCAAGCACTTGACACTCAATTGTGAATTAAACAATTTCCTTCAATGGCCCTGCCAGGCTGTCAATGCGGTGCTGCCAACTCGGCGCGATGTAAATTGCGCAGAGTGAAAACGAAATTGCAATTTAACTGCTTGTCAAACTAACATGAACTTTGACAGCTAGCTAGCGATCATGTGCCTGACACTCCAAATATAAATATGTACATATGTTTGTGAATTGATAAACTCAATTTGATAGAGAAAGTCCTACGAAATTAAATTAAATTATATATAGTATAGTAAATCGAAGCATTTGATTTCAATGAATGCAATGTCCGCGTGCCGTTGACCACTGTGCGCTGTGCTCCCGATTTCTCAATGAAGCACCGTGCTGGCCATTAACATTTTTTGGACATGCCAAGACTGCAATTACAACAACAACAACAACAAGACGAAGACAAGAGACTGCACAAATAAAAGAGAAAAAGCTGTGCGTATTCGTAGAATAAGCCAATGCTCATGATGATGATGTTGCTGCCAGATGATGATGATGATGCTGGTGATGCTGGTGATGCTGAGACGCTACACTTGAATGCCTGAAATGCCACGCCCAGCAGCAGCAACCACAGGTGACAAGGCAGGTGGCAGCGTCTCGTCTGGAATGTCAAACGTTTATTTGTCGGTAATTAAATTTGAAAATGATTTAAATTTCACCAGCGAATATTTGGAATTGGACTTAACACTTTCTTCTCTTGGCCAGGCCACGTTCCTAACACCAAGCCCAAAACAAAATCCGTACCCAAGCCACAGACACAACACACACACACACACACACACACACACACACACACAGATAGACGCAGACAGACACAGTTACAGCCTCTGGCCGGCAGGTGGGGCCACCCGCAAGCGCAGTTTTGTATGTTGCATGCACGCCCCGCTTCGCCTTCCCCTCCACAGCAGCGGAGAGTCCCAAGCGCAATTCAATGATCAATTCGTCTGATTGGAAGATTTTGTTTTCTATTTGCAATTGATTGATGCTCTTTTCTTTTGGCTGGCAGGCAAACGCAAAGCCAAATGTCGTGGAGCTGCACATGGCCAGCAAGTGTGTGCGTGTGTGTGTGTGTGTGTGTGTGTGTGTGTGTGTGTGTGTGTGTTTTTGTCCATATCCCATTAAGTTTTGTTTGGCTCAATTGAACCGATGAAGAATGCCAAACTGGAAGTGCTTCTCAATGCATACAACAATTGTTACTTGAATAATCATCATTGTGGTTGCAATTCGTTTTCTCGATTTGCTGGGCAGGCGCATGTCTATATTGAAAAAGTGAAAATAACTAAGCTGTGTGGGGTATTCGAGTACCCAGATACGAATTTTGAGTGCGTTGATTGACCTTAAAGGTCTTACGGACAATTCGTTTCCATATGATCAAATGATGGTTGAACATGGCTTGATGGATACAACTTTAATTGATTTTAAAGTATCTATATTTGTACATATACTTTTAAAGTGGTCGTACATCCAGATGTACGACAACGAGTGAACAGCTAAAATCCAATGAAGGCTATCTGACAAGCTGCACCAAGTTCTTAAGCTTCACTTGTGATTACATCAAGATGTATGAATAAGTGCACATAAAAAAGCTAGTAGAAACTGTACCGAGCATACATCAAGATGTATGCATACTTGTGTATAGACTTTTAAAGCCATACATCAAGATGTGCATGAATAAAAGGTAGATGAAACAGTTCCGACATAAAATAAGCTGTTTATAAGTGCGTACATGTCTTTGTACAGCCATACATCAAGATGTATGCATGCTTGTGTACAGACTTTTAAAGCCATACATCAAGATGTGCATATATAAAAGGTAGTGGAAACAGTTTCTACATAAAATAAACTGTTGTCAGGTATGTGCAATTGCTTTGAGCATAAGTTCAGCAAGCATACATCTAGATGTACGAGTGCAGCATACATGAAATCACAGCTGAAATGCTCGTCTACTCACTTCTATTTACGCGGCTTGCTCATGTGTGTGTGCCAATACTTTGAGTCAAGTGTGTGGAACTGTGTCAGTTCATTATTGTTTTTGATCAATGATTGTAGTAAAAAGTTTGTTTATGGAACCATTCGATGCATTCGGCTTGCAACGCTTTGTGCGGTTGCCTAAATTATGCGCAGACAGATGCCTGTGCGTGCCCTTGCGGCTGCATCATCCATCTTGCCACAAACTAGCGGCACACGAGTCGATTTCATTCATTTGTTTGCGCATGCGTGGCACAAACACTTTGCATATTTCACAAGCATCGTCTCGTCTGGCTTGGAATGGAATAGTCTCGGCTGGGATTGGTCCCGGTCTGGTACAGCATTTCGAATGCCGCACTTCGTGATGCTATTTGCTGATCTATGATTTTGTTTTCATTTGGAAAGTGCGTGTGTTTTTTCTTTTTTCTGTAAAAAGTAACACTTGAGAGTCCATGACTTGGGTGTAGTATGTGTGTTGAATATTTTAAGCAATCGGTCTATAAGTTCATGTTTGTTTTGATAGATATGTGAGAACAGGTAGATAGCTCTTTTGGTGTTTAACAAGATTTATATGCTTTGATTAATAGAAGTGTAATTATAATTTTTATATATTATAATCGAGAGACCTACATATTTGAGATAATGTATAAAAGATCTGTAGAACTACTCTTAGGCTATAATTTCATGGTTTAAAGTTGGAACTTTGTGATCAGATCTCTAGATATAGAATGTCTTAATAGATATGAACTGTTTGGGTCTTCAGATATTTAAATGTATCTATATGTGTAAGACTGTCCATAGGACATATAGAATTGTCTTCCGGATATAATTTCGTGGTGGGAATATATGATCAAATAGTGAATATTTGAAAAATGTGTATAATATAGATTGAAATGCGGATTGAGCTATATGATTTGATATGTAGATATTACTGAAGAACTGTATGGCCTAAGCAATATGTACTTTAGATCCTTATCATAAAAATAGGAAATCAAATTCTGTATGTGAGGTTTTAAATACCATATAGATCACAATGAATTACATGATTAGATCTATAGATAGTTAGATAGATAGATAGATAGATGGATTGATAGACAGATAGATAGATAGATAGATAGATGGATAGATAGATAGATGGATTGATAGACAGATAGATGGATAGATATCTAAGTGTGTTTCGCTGTTTTGGGTATCTGTAGCATATGCCTCGACTGGCTGGGAACTTTCATATACGATTTACAGTTCCACAAAAGTGACCAAGAGAAAAGAGCTGAACATAAGTAGTACATGTGTAGTTAAACACCACAGAGAATGGCGCCTCTGGGCAATGGCTCAATGGTCAACTCAAATGCTCGATATGAGAATCTGTATGAGTGTGAGCATGAGGTTGAGTATGCGGCTGAGCGTATGAGTGTATGGGTGTATGAGCATGAGTACACGTGAGTCTCTGAGTGCCTGTTCGCACGCCCAATTTGCCAGAAAGCAGCAGCAGCAGAAGAGACAAACAAAATAAAAGAAGTTTAAAAGTAAAAATACAAAAAAAAACAAAATTTCAAAATTGAGGCATGACAGCAATAACAATAGCCATAATTGATGGGTGGACCGCTTCGGTGCACCCTTCGCCTCGCTATCGCCCGCTCTGGACATTCGCGACAGTGGAGCGGTAGAAGAATCTTTTGGACAGCGGCTAATTGACTTTCAATGTTTGGACCTGCTTTTTGGCACTGAGAAAGTGAAATTGATCGCACGGCAAGTGGCACTTGCCGCTTGCCACATGCCACATGCTGCATGCCTCTAGAGTGCTGTTCGACTTTTGAGTGTCTTTTTGGTGACTTAAGAGTTGCAACGATTTTTTTTCAGGGCATGCTAAGGAGCTGGCAAAGGCGCAAGGAACAAGTTGCAACAGCAGAGGAGGGCGGTAAAGGGGCAGTAGGTAGTGGCTAGGAGGGGGCGGGGGGGAGATGGAAGGGAGCAGCAGAAGCTGAAGAAGAGTAGCCGCTTTCTAAGCCGCCTTAGCTGCGCTGATGCGGCTGCTGGGATGAGTTGCATGAGTTGCAACTTCAGCTTTTACCACGCATGCCGGCGACACTTAAAAGCGAAACGAAACGAAACGAAACGAGCAAATATCAACAACAACAACAACAACAACACCAACAACAACAAGCTGTAAGAATTCTCTGGGCAAAAATGCGCACAGCGTCAGATACCCTGTAATTTGGCAAGCAATGCCGCAGCCGCTTCGCTCTGAGGCTATGCACAACATTACCTCAAAACGATTTTGGCAACCGGAAACAGTCGAAACTTAACATTAATAAAACATTGTAAATCTCTTAATAATATATATAATATATAAACATTGACTTCAAGAGTTCCAAAAACAATATTTACTGATAAAGTAATATTAAGAAAAGTTGTAGCAAATGCAAAAGATATTTGAATAAATGATCAAGAATCAAGGCTTTATATTGATTAACATATATATGGAGTGGGGGATAAAACCTGATACAAGGAAAGCTTTCTACTTACTATAATATCAGAGCATGCCCCTTTTCAAGCACTTGGCCAATTACAGGGTATGACAACAATGGTGGCAACTCGACTAGCAACGGCAATAACCCAATTCTTTGGCTGCATTTCCGTCGCATTGCCAGTGAACTACTCCAAAGGGCCAATTGGCGACGGCAACTGCCACAGCCACAGCCGCAGCGACTGAGACTTTGACTGCGACTTTGACTTGCAACTGCAACGTTGGAGGAGAGGCAGGTGACGGAGGCGACACCCAGACTCTCAACTGGCGAGCTGCAATGGTGTAAAAAAGTGTCTTCTCATTGCTTAATGGCAGCCGTTGCTACTGTTTCTCGGCTTTTTTGTAGCTGTTGTTGTTGTTGTTGTTGTTGTTTTGTGTCGTTTTCACTTTGGCCAACGCTGCAGTTGCAGTTGCAGTTGCAGTTGCCACCTTGTAACCCGGCAATAATGGACACACACATGCGACCGATTGCAGCCAGCGCAAAGGTTATTGCAACAG